TGAAGAGCATAGAGACAATTTTTGTTTAACTCATCGATGCTTAGCTCACCTTGGGAACCCCCGTCCCGGTTTAGATTCTCTCGAGCGGAGTCGGCCTTAAGTTGGTTGGCTCCAAAGCATCGGCTATGGGTTTTGTTGCCCTGGCGGCCCATTAGGTCGGCCGGGATTTTAAAGACCGCTAAGGGCGCTCTGACAAAAGTCAGGGTGTGACAGCGGACGAATTCCTCGTCATCAAAAAAAAAATAATTTTCTTTTGTACGAGTAAACTTTCCGTAATCTTTTATAACATCCCCATGTTATTGGCATGTGCCGCCTCCGGATTAGTAGCAAACAATATAGAAATTTTAATTTTTATTATATATAAACAATCACTCTTCCAATTTTTTTTTAAAAAATAGCTGAGGATATTCTCTATTTCTGGAAAATTTAAAATTTTTAAAAAGAAAGAAAAAAATATTTCGTCAAACAATTCAAAATATTTAAAATTTTGAGTCTCTTCTAAATCCCCTTTCTTAAACTTCAAAAAAATAAAAAGAAATAAAAAATCAAAGTGAAGCCCAACGCAATAACAACCATTTAAGCGTGATGGAACTAAATAGTTATCATTTCAAAAACAATTTATAAGAGAGTGACACTGTAATTTTAAAATAAATCAATTTATTTAGAAAAAATCTCTTTTGATTTTTTTTTTTCTAATTGGATGAATTTAATTTGTGGTAAAAAATATTAAAAAATTTTCATATTTAAATTTAAAAATTGTTTGTTATCGAAGTTCGTATGTATTGTAAAAATATTTATACTTATTTTCTAAATTCACTTTATATATATCAAGAAGGAAGTAAAAAACAAAAGTTAATGATAGAAAACTAGGGCTGTCAAACAAAGGGGTTCCCCCCCAAACCGGGGTGCGGGTTCGGGTCACAACCCGAAAATTGACTGACATCTGTTCAACTTGACGATATGAAAGGAGACAGAAAAAAAAGGAAAAGAAAGACAACATGAAAAGAAAAAAAGAATAAAAAAAAAGAAAAAAAAAGAAAGAACGAACGAACCGCCAAATCCACCCACTGTTTTTGCAAAGGTCGGTTTTCCGAAACTCGAATCCGAACCGACCCGCATTCGGGTCCGGGTCAACCCGAACCCGACCCGATTTCGGGTATATTTTATTAAATTTTTTATTT